GGTCTATTGCTGATGGGAAGAGAGCAGATGTTCAGGGGGCATGGAAAATCCTGTGGTGATCACCATCAAAGAAGAGATTTAAACAAAAGAGAGTTATCATAACCTAGTATGGATCATTCAGTGCAGAGATGGAGGGACATCATGGCTAATCTGTACAGGGACAGTCTGGGTTGTTACTGGCAGTGTGCAAGTCAAAATAGATGAGGGTTTTTGTTGTTTTGTTGGTTTGTTTGTTTTGAGGCTGTAGGTGTGAAAGATGTTATGTAATGTCCATAAGGAAGTTTGTCCACACCGTAGAAGAGCAAACCTCATTAGGAGACGCCTGGGATGAATGCTGACTGCAACGTGCTGCCTGAATTTGCCTTTAATAGCAGAGAAAACATCCATAAATAAATAGACTCGTTAAATGTACTTTGGGCTCTTCCTCTTTAAGCGCACTCCTGATAGCTCTCCAGTTATCTGTACAGGTTCTGAAGGCTTGAGGAAGATGTCAGGACGGCGCAAGGCACTTGAGGGCTCTCTGGGTTGTGCTGGTCTCCTTGGGGTATCTGGTGCTGAGTCCATACCCCAAAAGCACAATTAGCATCTGTCCACAGAGTGAAGGTTCTTGTCAAGGCAGTTATTTCAGCCGAGTGGAAGTCCCCACAGGTAATGGCTTGGTGTCATGTACCTTGTCAGCAGCAGTTACTGCATGTGTTGCCTCACAGTTTCCTTGTCTCACAAAACTGCTTCCGTCGATGGACCCAGGAATCCTCAGCGTCGCCAAACGGTTCCTCCTGTAGCTCTGAGCAGCTGGCACAGTAGGCCAGAGCTGGTGTGAAGTTCTGACACAAGTCAGAGACCGTGGCTGATGGTCAGCAGGGGATTTCCCATCTCAAGTATGTTGCCCATGCCACAGGAAGGAACTGGGAAGGTTAAACACGGGCCACCGCAGAGTCACGGTCCCATCCTCAGTCCGGACGTCTTTGCTTGATTTATCACCTGTGACTCCTTTGCATATCGTATTGCCTTACATTATCACAGAATCACAGAATCACAGAATTGTAGGGGTTGGAAGGGACTTCCAGAGATCATCGAGTCCAACCCCCTGCCAAAGCAGGTTCCCTACAGCAGGTCGCACAGGTCGGCATCCAGGCAGGTCTTGAACATCTCCAGAGAAGGAGACTCCCCCACCTCCCTGGGCAGCCTGTTCCAGTGCTCTGTCACCTCACTGTAAAGAAGTTCTTGTGCACATTGGTGCAGAACTTCCTGTGCTGCAGTTTCTGGCCGTTTCCCCTTATCCTGTCTCCATTCACCACTGAAAAGAGTCCGGCCTCGCCATTCTGCCCCCCGCACCTCAGATACTGATAGACCTGGATCAGGTCCCCTCTCAGTCTCCTTTTCTCAAGGCTGAACAGACCCAGTTCACTCAGCCTTTCCTCATAGCAGAGATGCTCCAGGCCCCTCACCATCTTTGTGGCCCTCCGCCGGACTCTTTCCAAGAGATCCCTGTCTGTTTTGTACTGGGGAGCCCAGAACTGGACGCAGAGCTCCAGATGAGGCCTCAGCAGGGCAGAGCAGAGGAGGAGGATCACCTCCCTCAACCTGCTGGCCATGCTCTTTGCAATGCACCCCACTTGGCCTTGGCCACAAGGGCACACTGCGGGCTCATGGCCGACCTGTCGTCCACCAGGACACCCAGGTCCCTCCGCAGAGCTCCTCTCCAGCAGCTCATCCCCCAGCCTGTACCGGTATCTGGTACAGTAGTAGGTAGCAGCATCTTGTGCAGTGAGTCTGCCCACTGTCAGGGTGCACTGGGATTTGGCGAGGTCCTTCTCGATGCTGAATTTCCCCTCATCGGACTCATTCTCAAGGAGCAGCCTGGTTGCCATGTAGGCAGTGCTCTTGGGAGCTGCCCCAGGCCTCCTGCAGTACCAGTCAATGAACAAAACAATATCCAAGGGAGTCTCTAGAGCAAGGTCTAGATCCCAGGACAACAGCTGATCGTTTTCTGATGAAGTGCTCGCCATCCATAACCTTCAGATTTTTATTAACCTTGCTGTTGGTTTCCTGCCTTAATGGCAAAACAATCAGAAGTGAAAGCCTAGTTCTGTTGGAAAAAATGCACGTGGTTTGGTGGAGGGGGGAAATATGTAAGTTGAATTTGTAGCTGTCCAATGAGCTGGAAGATGAGCAGGAGTGCTGTGCTGGCCTCAGTCCTGCCCAGTGCTGCGTCAGGGCATCCAGGCACCAGGAGCTTGGAGGAAGTTGGACTGCTGCAGTGCGGGTTCAGGTTTTCCTGCTCTGTCTGCAAGCTGGGTGGCGAGCAACTGCTTGTGCATCACTTGTTATATGCATTTGTATGCATATAGTCATAACTATAATTCTTTGTATACATGTAGTCACAACTATAACTCTTTTCTCTATCTTAGTAAATAGTTTCATCTCAAGCCACGAGTTCTAGTTTGTGGTTGTGTTTTTTTTTCCAGTTCTCTCCCTCATCCCACTGGGAAGGGGTGGTGCTTAGCCACAGGCTGTGTTAAACCACTGTGCCGTGTTTGGAAAGTGACGGGGGAGAGAAGTGGTGAGGACACAGCAGCTAGAGACCCTGTGCTTGGACATCAGTGCCCCGCTGGGTCTGGAAGCCTGATGTTCCTCTGCTGCTGCTGCTCCTCAGGAGACAGAAGCAGTGCTCCCAGCAATAAGTGCTCTGGGACTGAAAGAGCAAGAGGAGGCAGGTTCCCAAGGCCTCTGATACAACCATGAGATTTACCAGCTGCTGATGCTTCAGGCCTCTTTGAAGGTTTCAGGTTTTGACAGCGAGAGAAAGGGGACACACAGGCACACACAGGTGCTGAGAGGGGCACGACATGCCGTGTCATCATGGCACGAAACCTAAGGAGTCCATGAAACCTACATAAGCACATCCCTACACCCACCTTTACCTCCTTTTCTGTTTTGAGGACACTCACAGGGACTGGCTTGTTGGCTGCAGGCATTCAGCGTGAAAAGGCTGCTAACGCTCATTTAGTTCTGGTGTTCTAGCTGAAAGTCAAATACCACAGCACTGTGAATGCAGGGCAACAGCACTTATCCCAGTGAGGCCAGAGCTAAGCACAGGTAAGTGAACAGAGAGAGATGGAGGCAGAGGATCATAGAATCACAGAAAGGTTGAAAGGGACCTCGAGGATCATCAAGCTCCAGCCCCCCTGCCACAGGCAGGGCCAGCAACCTCCATATCTCATACTAGACCAGGCTGCAAACAGGAGCAGATATGTAACAAAATTGTCAGGGATGTTGGCTTAATAGGATCAAAGTAGTGCCAAGGAGCTAGAGCATGAGACCACTTAAAGGTTTTTAAATCTTCTCATTTTTAGCAGTTTGTTTATTTAAACAAGATGAACTAGAAAGTTGTTTTAAACAGAGGTAGCATGGAGAATTACTTTCTTTCTTAACACTGTCTTTTTGAATTGAAGTAACCAAATATCTCATTACATGGTACAGATTTTCCAAGAGCAGCTGCTCGAGTTTGATCCATATTGTAAGTTTTAACACGCGTGAAACACAGAGATGTGTTGCAGCAGTGAGTTAGAGAACAGCTTGGTAATGAGCTGCTCTGTCTTCATTTGCCAGCATGCTGAAGTAGCCAGTTGCTGTGTACATAAGACTCATTTCATTTGCCCTGTGTGTCTGCAGCTGTGAGCCAACTTTAGATACTGAGAGGTCATTGCAAAAAAAATCGTATCTGAAGAGTGAATCGGATGCTATCTCCAATCCCATGAACACAAATTCCAGTGTCTGCCACCCTCTGCTGGAGAAAAGGAGTAAACTTTTTGAGCAGCTGTGTAAGGAGTGCGGGCAGATGAGCCCTGGGCTATTAGGACCAGCAGTGCCCAGCAGTGTAGATGCGTGCCTTGCTTGAGCGCACGGCAGATGCTGGCCTTGCACAATGGTGCTTCAGCACACACCCACCAGGATGGAGCAGCTTGATGCTCTCTGGCACACATGAGCCTCTGCCTCCTGCAGGCCGTATTTCCGATGGCTGCATGCTGCTTTGCTCTGCTCTGTATTCATTGCCTGTGGCTGGGCAGAAGTCCTGTCTGTGCATGGAGTGGTACTTCCATTATTTTCTAAGCATTTCCTCTCAGCAAAATTTCTGTTAACTGCTTCTGAGCACACTGTGCTACGAAGCACAGTCCCCTTTGGACTAGCAGCTTTGCTAGAATAATGTTAATTATGAAGTCTTCCTGTCGATTGACAGGAGGAAAGTTTGGGAAGTGCTGTGGTTTTCCCCATGTGGTGCTGATGGGTCAGAGTGAAGACATCATGCAAGAGTAACACAGGTGTGTCTGAAATGTTGCTGGAGGCAGCTGCATGCAAAGACAGCATCAGAGCTGAAATCAGTGGGTGCAGATCTGAGAGAGGAATGCTTGAGAAGTGGCTATCTGATCATGTATCTGTGCATTTGGTTTGAAACCATTGCCCACTTTGTATTCTCTGATTCTAGACATGGACTGAGACCACATTACCTCCAATTCCTCCCCCTGAAAGACGAACAAGCTTTGCTCTCACAAAGCAGCTGGCTTCAGCCCCACGGGCTGCCTGCAATCTCCGATCTGCAGCAAACATTCTGCTGCCAGAGGACACAGCAGAGCCAGCTCTACTCATTGCAGCAGATAGAAAAACATCTCCGCGCTCTTTTGCACTGTTTTCAGAAATGTTAGCTAGCCTAACTACTTTTTGTAGACAGGAATTGGCTTATCCAATGGTGAGTCATCACCTGTGACTGTTTCAAATAAAGAAGATCTTTTAGATCTATTTTGCAAACTGACAATAAAATCCTATTTGAGCTTTTGTACAGTGGAATGGCTGCTTGTGCTCTGCCTGCCCAGTCCCGCAAACTGCACCTACACCCACCACCTCATCCACTTACCTTACCATCATAGCAACATTGTTCAGTGTTTCTTCCTCCAGTCAGAAAGGTACTTCAACACGTTCATTAAGCAGGAGCTTAACGAGACTGTGATTTACTTTGTGTTCTCCTGGTGCTAGGGCATCAGTAAGCAGAGCACCGTGCAAACAAGTCCCCCGCAGTTCGAGCAGGATGGCGCCCACAGCAGCTTTGTCTCCTGGAGGCAGGGACAGATGCATCCAGGTGTGAGGTAGGGGAGGGGTGGAACAAGGGGCGGGGGGAGGGAGAGGAGGAGGAGGACTGGGACAAACGTGCCATTCATCTTGCACACCTTCCATTATTCGTGAAAGGCTGCAAACTGGAGAGACAAGCTGCAGGTACACAATTGATCAGTTTGCTCTCATGAAACGCTCCTCCATCTTCAGTTACTCTGTCTCACTTCCACGGCCACAGCATCCATAGCCCAGAGGATCGGGACATCGGGGCCCTAAATACTCTGAGTGTTCATTCAGTGCAGAAATAGAAATGATAGCTGCTGTAGGTTAGCAGTGTGTGCTGCCCTAGGCAGAAATAAGTCTCTAGAGAAATCAAGACACAACGGCTATTGCTTCACAATCAACTGGAAAGCATAAAATCTGGTAATTCACCAAGTGCAGTATAGTGTGTTAAACAGAGAAGTGCAGGAGTGGGAAACAGTTCTGGGCTGATCCAGCTCTGGGGAGGAGGGCATCACTTGAACGTAACAGCAACAAACCAACAAACAAAAGAATAAAATACAAAAATTTGCCTTGCTTGCAAACAGAACGGAGCAGAGCGATGGAGAATTTTCTTTTCACACAAGATCAATGGACGAGCAAGAGACAAATAAGAGGCAGCAGCCTGAGTGACAGCTGGGCACAGACAAGTTCCCCTGCTGCTGCTGGTGGCCAGAGCCCATTTCCAGGAGGCGCAGCCAGGAGATGTGCTGAGCTGGGAGTCAGACCTGCTGGAACCTGGGGGTTGAAAGCAAGAGTTGAGATGGTGCACCAGCTGTGCTGTGCTTCTCTGGGAAAAGAGGCATGAAATTAAAGTTAGGTTCCCCAGTAGAACACAGGAAGCACGTGAAATTCATTGCAACACAACTTCAAAAGCATCACAGATGAAACGTCTGTGGATCACAGGTTTATTTTTAATGACACAGCACTGGAAAACAGAAGTTACAGGTGACTTTTTGATACAGCATACATTATGTACCTTAATTTAAAAGGATCTGTAAGGTGCGCTGCATAAATATTATTGTGAAAAGATGTTTATTTCTCAGAGATTAACTCTGTCGTGTTTTTTTTTATTCAGCCAACTAAATAAAAAAGTATAGATGAGCATCATAACAGTTCCCCTTCCAGATTACCTCACTGTAACTACTGCAGCCGGAAGAGGAAACCGAGCCATGCCTTCTCAAAGGTTCAGCAGCTTTGAAAACGATGCCATTCATCATCTCAGAATGAAAACCTCACCTCACTCACACGGACGCTGTGCAGTGCTTTGGCAATGGAGCAGCTGGTTCTGCTTTGGAACAAAACTGTTGTCTGGAATGCCAGACAGTGGGAGAGCAATGCATGCCCTGATGGCACTGCACAGCCACAGCACTGCATGACATTGCTGAGATGCACACATACCCACATGCACCTGCAGACACACATCCAAGTAACACTGGAAAACATTGCAGCAGCTAATGATATTTTTTAAACAAGTGAAACTTGTAATAGTTTGACCTCATTACTACAGGATTACTAATTAAGTTTTCTGCAGTGCAACTCAATACGATGCACTGAGTGCAGATAAGTTCAGGTTTTGCTACCAAGGAGGCTAATTTTGGATTTCATGGGAAAGGACCAAACACAGGATCACCACAGCTCTGGCAAAGCACAAACAAACCTGTTGCCACGTGCATGTGAACAAATGAGGACATTTCTGTTTGTATTTGATTTTTTTTCACACACTGCTTCAGAAATGGCTAGCTTAACTGCTTGCACTCATGCTCATTTTGATACGCTTCAACAAGCAACCAATCTGTAAACCATTAACAGCCTGAACTACAAAAAAAGGGGGCTCCTGTGTTTCAAGGAGGTGAAGAACCCACTGACTGAGCTTCAAACCACATTCGTGTGCCTGTGAGAAGAACTGTTCCAGATGGCGTGTGAAGTTCTCTGGGAAAAGTCCTTTATAACCATTTGCATCTCTGTGCTGAAGCCACTCAGATTCCTTAATGCCTGTCAAGCAGCCTCCTGAAAGAGAAAAGACAGAGCATCTTCAGGGTCAGCTCTCTCCCATTCCTTTCTGCTGACTCCAGGCCCAGAGAAGTTTTAAAGGCTAAAAGCAGTGGTGATTTGTTACACAGCATACTCTGATTTTGCACAGACTGTTTTCTCTGTTCTGCCATGGTTTGGTGAGACTGTGAGCACATTAGATGGCCTTTATCCCACCTAACCTCCAACTGAACTGAACATTGGATGATCAGCCTCTGGAGTCATCCAGCGTCACAGCAAACCTGCATTTGTGCAAATGCACATGGAGATGTTTTCAAAGTTCTCACAGCAATATTGGGATACTGACACAGGAAGAGCACAGCAGTGTGCTAGAATCATTATAGAATGCCACAGATGAGGGGGAAAAATCCATGTTTTCATCTGATTATTTTTTTCTGAGAGTTCTTTTCTCTCATCCCTGTATTGACAGTCAGAAGAAATAACAGTTCTTGTTTTCTCTGCCATCACAATCGCTAGAAACTAAAAGTCAGTTGATACTCAACAACCTTTTCCAGAAATTCCTGGAAGCTTCAGCCTAAGCCAGATCTTGGCATGCAATGCTGCAATCCAAATCCATCAATCCAAAGGAAGATTTCTTACTGGAAAGTGCTGGTTCTCCTAGGTGCTATCCATTTCACCTGGAATAAAACCCATGCAGTATTTTTGCAGTGATCAGCCTATTTTCACCTCACCACATGGCTAACTCTGTGCTTTGTTCCTTTTAAGAACAGGAGTCAGAGTAAAGTGATGATTAGCAGGCAATTTCTAATGCTGATTCATTATTATTCTACAGAAAGTATGAAGAGAGATGGAGTAACTGGCAGCACGTTTTTGAAGTCACCTTTTGGAAAACCTGAGGTGGGGGAACTGAAGTTTTCTACCATGGACAGAGTAGATTCTGCTCAGGACTGAAGCTGTAATGGATGATGACTTCAACTCAATAATTACAGATAAAAGTTGGAGTCACTGGCTGGGATGAGTTGGCTTTGCACAGGGAGCACAGGCTGACAGCACCAGCTATCTCAGAATGATGGTCTTAGATCAATTTTGCAGGAGAAGAAAGAACCAAGATCAAATACTCTCTGAAATCAACAAATTATCTGGTAAGAGAGAAAAATTGAGTTCTAGGTGATGTGAAACACAAAGGGCAAATATGCACTGAGTAATAAAGATATGAGCAGAATGATCTCAGCAACACGAATACATGGGGCTTCATTTTCTCCATCACTGCACACGATTCACTCCAATGAACGCTAATGGGATTTGGATGCACACCACAAGAGAAAAACAATCAATGGATTCACCAAGGGAAAGTTATATAGATTTAATACAAAACATGATAAGAAAAAATAACTGAGGACAGCCTATTTTTATATCCTTAGAGTAGATCCTGCAAATACTGACAATGAACTCAGCTGAACAGCCCAAGAGGTGAGACGCAGCACAGTTTGAGTAAGCATAAGAGGATCTGTCCCTACAAAATAACAAAGTGTCCCAGTGAAAAGGAAAATAAAATAATCTTTTATTCAGAAACAACAATAAAAAAGAATCAAAAACCAAAGCAATTACTTGTCTCTTGTATTAAGAGAGAGTTCAGCTTAGATAACAAACAGTCTCTGGCTCTCCAAACACGCGCTGACAGCATTTGGGCATGTTTGAAGAACTGCTCTTCATTCGGAGCAGAGACCTGGCTGTCTCACTGTGCAGGTCCAGAGCCCAACCTCCCAGCCCCCAGTTCAATGGGATGCTTTTCATCAACGCTTTCTGCCACTGCAGCCACAAAGTGGCTCGTACGAATTGTACAAGATGGGCTGCTCTTAAAGAGGAGGTAAAAAATTCATTCACTTGACTGCAAATCAACATAACGTGTGGAATCAAATCGTTTAAAAATTAACCTGAAACACACTGTTAAAACAAAATAAAGCATCTTAAATGACACTGAACTGTTGGGTTCTTGCACCAAAGACAAAGCGATTGCTGGTGCAGCTCAGGAGCACAGCTGTGAGGCTCAGGTCCCAAGAGGCACACAGGACATGCAGGAACACCTCTGTGCCATTGGGCTGCAGGACAGAACTGTTGGTGTGCAGTCTCAGTGCTCTCTCTGGGCAAACGCATATTTCTCCTGATCTCCATGTAAAACTCTGAACGTGTGGGGAAATACAGTCAGTTCTGACCCAGTGTTACAACAACATGATAGCAGGATGCACAATTTGTAAGCCGTCTTCTGTATTCAGCCTGTGCCTGTATGTAAGCCTGTATAAAATTCACTACAAAGCAACATAAAAGTGCCCTAGAAAAATGGACTGAAGTTGGATCCTGCTGGCAGTACATACCTGGGACTTCAGCTTAGTTAGCTGTGCTGCTTGGTCACAAATCAAACCAAGTACAGGGCAAAATAAGAATGCTGGTGTTTTCTAACAGTAAAGATGTTTTGAACCAACATTTCAAATTAACTCTAAAGAGTGAGAAGGAAACTGAGACAAAAGGAAACATTAGCAAAAGAAATAAGTAATCATGTTGTTGTTACCTGATCAGCTGTGGTCTCAGAAGGAATTACTAGTGCAATATCCCCTCCATTCAAATTAAGCTGGTCACCGTTAGCTGCCTCAAAATCATGCAGAACTTCAACCTAAAGGAAATACCAAATGTACAGAAATGATCAAAACAGAGACACTGTGAAAAAAGAAAAATGTACTCTTTCACTTCTTTCTTTATGGAAATATATGGCCATAGACACGTACATTCAAGCTGTTCATGTCCACATCAAAGTTTCTAATCACAGTTTATATAACAGGTACAGCTTCAGTAAATCTTCCTGAAACTACTGAAAGAAACCAAACCTCCTTTCCCAAGGTTGCAGAATCCCACAGGTGCTGCCTCTTGGACAAGTCCTGTTACATTATTCCTACCGTGCAAGGAACTTGCCTTCATTTCCCACTATCATGCCTAGACCTGAGGAGAGGGATGGCAGGATTTTGCCAATAAGCTTGGAGAAGAATCTCCAAGGTAAGGGTCTCCAAAGTAAGGGTCACTTCAGACCCTTCCTTATGCTGTCTGCTGGATACTGTGATTGATGGAAACATCCCTGGAAATTAGAGGGAGAGGTACAGCACCAGTTTCAGTACAAGACAAAAGAAGTGAGTAATGGGAACCACAGCTCCTGTTTGTCCTGGAAAGAACTCCCATTCACTGGCAGATAGGAATGCCAAAAACATCTCTCTGTCAAAGAGGTGATCATTAAAACATTTGTGGGGTTAGCACACTGTCCTGAACAGACCATTGTAACTAAATAGCTCTTCCTCCTGAAGAGAGGCACTATCCTAGTTTTCTCAAAGCACAGACAGTTCCGTGGTCACTGCAATAATGAAACAATACAGCATCGAGAACCAGATGGCAGTCATGTATTCTGCTGCTCCTTACTTACGTTTGACTCAAGGAAGCGTGACAAAAAACAAAAGATGAACAACAGATGAGCAGGTCTGCACCAAAACTGCACAATACCGGTCACTCTAACCTTAATGCCATTCTCACTGTTTGCTGAAAATCTTGACCAGTGACCTTGGATCAGAAGGAATGGCATATTTATGGAGTGCTATGGGACTAACTAGTCTGAAGTATGCAAACGATAGCAGGAAGCACATAAAGTTCATCTAGCCTCAAGGAGCGTTTCTCCTGCTCACTGATTCTGAAGTGAAGGAACCTTGTGAACCAGGAATCTCTGTGGCTCTTACCAGCCAAGGAGAGGATTTCCCTGCAGCTTCATTAAGCTCTTCTGTCTGAATACCCTAACAGTTCGTAGGGACAGCAATACTAAGGACATGAAAGGACACTTCAACTTCATTACAGTGAATTGTTCAAGTCCCACAGATTTCAATAGGGCTGGAACTTCCTCTACAAATTCTCAGGCCAGAAAAACGCCTTTTTGGTACTGTTAGCAAACGATCCTATGGTACTGCTGACTAAATCCCTGGCAGTGGAATTTTACTTAAAAGATTCACTGTCAGTACTGATTTGGCAAGATGAAAGGAGACCTCTAATGATTCTTACAGCTACAGAGGGATATAAACAACAAAATCCAAGTGCAGAAAATGTTTCTCAAAATTCACGTATGGAGATGAAACAACCAAAGGCTGGGTGAGTGCATGTGCATGCAAGCATGTGGCTGTGAAACCAGGCATCCTTTGGCCTCAGTAAACCATCATAATGACTCAATTTTCAGACACATCCACAGAAGCTAGATGTGAAAAGATGTCTAAAAGAACAACAAACCGGCAGACCTTAAAGAGAAAGCCCAGTGGCATGTCAGAAGCTGTGCCTCCTGCTGACGCAGGCTGATCTTGAGAAGGTCTGCATTTCTTCAGTTGGTTCCTGCTCACTTCCAACTTGGCAAGTTTCACCGTCAGTGCCTGAGTGCCCATCTCTGCTGCAGCATCTTCGGACTCATTCATCATGACATCATGTTCTTCTCCTTCCCCTGCGTTGTTCGATGCTGGCTCCATTACTACCGAAGGGTAGTAATTTCATTTCTTTCCTAGAAAAGAAATAAAATACAACAAAAGCACCACAAGAGTATTTCCTGCTTTATTTCAAGTTGAAAAACATGTTTCTTTACTTCTGCTGCAGGTGGGATTCTTACCTCAAGATAGAGAACAATAATTGTGCAGAAAAGTAAAAGTTCTAAGAGCTTAGAGGAACACAAGGTGAAAAGCAGAAGTGACCTGGACCTCTTTCAGGGCTGTCCCAGTGTCTGTGTGAAATCCATCACACAGCAGAGCACCTTCAGGACTGAGGGAGGTTGTTGCCAAGAGCCATGGGACATATTACTGTACAAGACTTACTATGGGATGTTTAAGGGAGAAACCAAAAGCAGTGGGTGGGTTGAGGCGATCTGGGGAGGAACAAGTGTGGGACAACAAAGGCACAGGTAACAGCAGAAATGGACTGCTTGCACGTAAGCATGGACAGTTCAGATGTTATCTGGCCACGTCCTGCACCTGATGAGTGTGGTCTGTCCTATCTTCTCATCAAGTTGCTGGCTAACTCCTCTCCAGGGTGAGGGCTGTCTGTTGTTCTTGCTCGTGTGTGCATTAGGCTCAGACCGTGGATTGGAAGGCCTGTGTGCCCATCTGCCAGCTGCAGGAGAGATCCAGGTGCCAGCCACTGGAGACACTCAGGTGAGTGGACTTGAGTGACAACAGCATGTACATACAAATCCATGTATTCTCACTAGTAGAGCTCTACCTACTCAGCCAGAGGTGAACGCGATGAGGCCTCCGGTAATGCTTGTGTTTGTGTGAGTACCCCGTGTGCCTGCCTTTGATTCCCATGGCTGTCTGTGTGTGTACAAATATGTCTGTGTGCTCTGTGTGTGCACTGACTGAGAATACATGCTCATCCTCACTGCTTGTTGGACCCTGGGGCATGGAGCTGCATCAGCCTCGCCTGTGCTGGAGCTGCTGGATCTGGCTGGATTCCTCTAATGCTCCCCACACAACAACATGAGGTACCTGGGAAACATCGATCTCCTTTTCTTCTCCCTGAGGTTTGTCACCTCCAGCAGCAGCCTCCTGTTCCGTGGGAGCAGCACCCTCACCAGCTCCTGATCCCACCACCACACTGTCTTCCACTCCAGTGCCCCATCTGCAGCACTCACCACCTGCAAGATAAAAGGAGAAACCTTTCAGGACACGAGCTGTGCATATCAGCTGGAGATATCCTGCACTCTGCGATCTCCTTAGGTGCTGCCGGCCCCTGGCTTTGGTTTCACTGGGGTTTCTCCTGACCCAAGGGAGAAAGCAGCACTGGAGGCTGCCATCCTATACCTGAAGCACCATGTAGGGAGCACAGGGGTAGGCTTACATGACAAAGCTGATTTACAGGCAGGAGAGGGACATTTACAAAACCTTCCTGTCAACATGCAGTAGAGTTTCAGATGGGTATTGCTAGTGTAGGAAACATTTCTCAAGGCTCATGTGTTCTCACTGCCTCTTCTTTCTCACACCTATACAACAACCTCCTTCCACTGCTCTCTGAAACACTCATGGGACTGCATTCTCAGGGCTGATTTGCCTCCAAGCTGTGTGGTGTGAGAAATGCCCTGCAGGTTCAAGGTGAGTTGAAGCTTGGCAAACTGCCCGGAGGTCCCCTGTGCTACTGAAAGTCTGCTCTAGGGAACAGGCTGCAAGCCTGCTCCAGCTGCTGTCTGCCATCTCTAGACCTGGACTGACTTCAAGAGCATTAGTTAGACTCCTTTTGAACAGAGATGTGCAACTTGGGCTATGTTAGCTGAAGCAAATATACTCTACAGCTAGATGAAGGTTAGAAATATTCAGATATCATCAGGTATCAGAAAATGTTAGCCTATAGCTAGGCTGATTTTAAAAAAGAAAGAAACATAAATAAAGACCCAAGTAGATTTTATATGACTGAATCATTCGTCATTAGTCTGTGTTGAAAAGTCAGCATGCATTTCATTTCAGTTATTGAAAGGTGGATAGAAAAGTACCTTCCTGAAGGCCATTGTTAAATCCTTCCTCCAGCATAGGTAATTTATGTATCACCCCAACATTTGTGTTGGTACACACTGGTATTTGTTTACAGTAATACACTTGAATTAAGTTTATTGGAGATTCATCTTGATGGTGAAGGTAAATAAAAAAACACATTCTGTCAATTCAATTGGCTTCAGGAAGTTTTTAACACTAAAGAAAAGCTGTTTTCTAGGTACCAGCGTCAAGCTAAGTTCAGCAGAAATTCAGTTCACAGCCTGATGCTCTGCTTCCTCAGTTTGATTTTCCACCCATGAATGAGACCAATGCAGCTCTCTGAGCTCAACCTGAACTGCCTGCATTTGTTCACAATCATTCTTCAGTCACTGTTGTTCAGCTCTATCTACCCCTACTGGCTGACATTAACTGATGTGGTAAATAAATTCTTCTGCAGTCCTTGAAAGCAGGAAATACTCCAGTGCTTTGCAGAAACCACTGGAGAAGTTTTAGCTTCAACTGAAAATTCTGCTAGGGAAGGATGCTCTGCCACAAACAGAAGTATTATCAAAAGATATGGACAGATGTTGACATCTTCTCCTGTGACTTGTAAGGCACGCAAACCTGTCTCACAGAGTATTACCAATTTAGCAGTCTTGACCCAGGCTAGTATTCAAATAAATGGTGGTTGTAAAAGCCTTGGAAGAGACCAGTATGAAAGGAGGGGAACAGAATGCCTATCAGATTGATTTCATCACATGTGCTTCTAACAGCATGCTGCACACACTGATCCTGCTGCCTGTTGTGATTAGGATCAACGTTTATTTTCTATTTACTGCATTTGTACAGCCAATTTTCTTCTACGGTGGAGGAGAATTTTAATTGACATGAGTCAGCTCGCAAACAGTCAGCACTGAAAGGGTGATGCTCTCAACAGCTGTAGCTGTAACTCACTGAATGCACAGCACGTTCACATATGCAGAACTGGGTATTTCCCGTGCCTTAGAATACAGAACCAAAGCAAGATAGATAATTAAAAAATGGCTTTTACAAAAGCATGTGTGCTAGTGCTGAATGAACCTCACTATTAGTATCAAATGCCTTTGATAAAGAAAAAAACAAAACTAAACTAAAAAGAGGGAGACTCAATTCCACTGAAATCAGAACAAGAATCCCACACCCAGCTGCAATGGGCCACGTACTTCGTTTTGAGAACCAACTCTACAAACCTGTTTTCCATAACAATACACAGACTAAGAGTATCCTAAACCAGCTATCTGCAGAAGGGTTACTGAAATCTGCACAGCCACACAGGAGAAAAAACAAGGGCCATCCAATGTAATGAAGGCTGTGATAACAGAGCCACGTGGCTTTGAGTTGCAGAAACAGTGAATGCTTCTTTACCCAGGCTGCAGCTGGCTGCATTATCCTCTCATAGAACTGTCAGCTCAGTGCAGTGCTCAGATTCAGCAGCAGCAAGAATGAGGCCATGAAGAGGAGGAGAGCAGCCGAGTCTGCAGCTGGGGGCCTGGGAGGAGCTCACTGTCCGTGCTCTCCCCATTTTCCAGAGCTGAAGATCTGGCTCCACGGCTTGATTTAGAAAAGGACTGGGTAATTTTTAGGACAGTTAGTCATAATTACAGCTCAGTTGTCTCATATAAGATCAAGAACTAATTATCATGCTTTAGTGAGCACACCAACTGCTTGCAAAGTCTTGGAAGGCTTTTGGAGTAATACTGCAGAACTGGTTATGAAAGTTGCCTCAGAAGGACAGTCCTCCACTGGAGCCAGGATATCAGCTTAGCAAACAGCCTGATCCCTGACAGCATCTCTTCTGCATTCAGTAATACTGCTCCTCTAAGCAGGTTTAGCTGACCAGATAGAAGTTACTTTACAAGGGCACCTAGTTTGGAACAGAGGAAAGATGCATTTCAAAGGCTTAGCCTTTGTGCTCAGGGCAGAGCAAGGCATTTCTTGGCCCAGACTTGGCAGTGATAAGACAATGCTAGACAAGCAGTGCAACTCATTTGCAGCGCATCAGCACCTGTAGCTATAGAAACTGGGTTTGATCTACCTCAACATGCCAACCTAAAGAGAAATTAAAGTATGTCCCCGAGTTTTTCAGTTGCTTTGTAATTTACCTCATTCAGTGCCACATTTGTATTTTAGAAAATGAACTTTTGGCATGATTATTTTCAGCTGTGCAAGGAAAAACAAATGATGAATCAAAATTCCATTTCCTTTTTAAAGCTGTTTAGAGGAAGGCTAGACAAACAAATTCAAGGAAATGTAAAAGCTACTGTGAATCTATGCAGCATATTCTCTCTTCACCACAAATGTCAATAGAAACAGCATTATGCCACTTTCTGTTCATGGATCTGATTGTTTTCTGCCCCAAAATATTTATCAGTCTGTACTGCTGCAACAGGCAGTTTCTAAGGTAGGTCTTGCATTGAATGAGAAATGTTCTGGTACCACAGCTGGGTCACAGTCATATTGTATTCTCTGCACACTGATTACATGCAGATGACATACATATATTTTTGCCACACTCCTCTTGAAGATATTAAAGCACAACCACATTCCTGAGGCTGCTCATACGTACCTCGCTCTCTTTCTCAGCAATTCCAGTTGTCTCCTTATCCCCTGCCCCGATACTCTCCTGTATAAAGAGGAAATATGGTCACCATCTTACTCATGCTGAGGGAATGACTGCAGAGAAACTGGCATTAATCAAGCTCAGTGGAAGAATGGCACGTATGGGATGCGATGAAATGAATGGTGGGAACTAAACGGACAGCATACAGGGAGTGGAAAGATTCTTGCTGCTATATATCTGAAATAAAGGTAGCTATAAGATAAAAACAGAACAAAACAAGAACACAGCAAAAAACCACGAGAAATAAAGCCTGTTAATTACATAATGATCACCACACTGGAAGTGCTAATGTCAATTTTATGTACTTTTGCTATCAGTATTTCCATAGTAGCACCATACTGGATGAATGTTTTATTAAGCAACAGCCCAGAACATTGCTGACCTTACAGTTTTCCAGCTACCTCCAATTTCTCCCACCCAAGACTCAGAATGTTCCCATCATAACCTGCTGCTGCCCCTGTAACTCACCAGTTTGCAGGAAAACTTCCTGGAACACTTCTTCCACACGCGTTGGGCTGAAACACACGGCAGGGGATTGTTCAAAGAGGTGGGTCACAAAGCTCATCAGTGCTGCAGAATCACTTTCCTCCAGGTCCACACTCAGCTGTACATGCAGTGGGTGCCTGACATTTCAAACAGCAGACGTGTGTCAGTGGCTCTAAATGTGGCACCCATGAAGATGTCCAAGGAATCAATTGCTCTGAACAGTGATGCTCCCCACCCCAAACAATACTTCTCACAGCACAGATGGGATCTAACACAAGGTCCTTTACTACAGAAGCTGTAAAACTGCACAAGTTCCAGGTTTGGAAGAGGAAAAAACGTACAATTTCCTAAACTCTGTGGGACAGTTGTGCTCCTGCTGGCTTCCAATTCCACTGTAGCATTTTGGGATTCAGTCAGCAACATCCCTTCTGCTTGAGTTTAGATTCAGTTCTGGCTATTGCTCAGCCTGGATCAAGAGGTTCAGGTCCAGATTAGGTCAACAAACAGTCAAGATGGCTGTAGTTCATGTCTCATTTGGAACACTTGGAAGTGCTTTTCTCTTCTGCTCAGTCTTGGCTTCCTGCAGATTACAGGATATTTCTAAAGATGCTTTTCAGAGGAAAAGTAAATCTAAGCCCCCTTATAGAAATCTCTTTCACTAATAAATGTTGAGGCTGCTCAGCAAACATACATATGTCAGATTTTTCAAAAGCCCTGTAAGGGTGAAGACAAGTCATGCTGATCTGTGTGAGTGCAGGCAGAGCAGATCACCATCTTTAGCACTTGTGATCAGACCTCAGTGCTCAGCCTCCAGCTCACTGCCTCCACACACCTGCCACACCAAAACTCCTGCACGTTTCATCTGAAATGCTTGCATGTTATCTTGTTTAATAAAAGGATGCTGCGTTATATCCAAACTTCACTTCACTCATGTGTTTTCTAAGCTCATCTTCCTGCAGTCACCTCATAAGACCCAGACCTGTCCAGACGCCAGGGCAAGGCAGCTGCTGACAGCAGCGTTACCATGCAAACCCCTCACAGCTTTATCCTGCTAAAACTGCAGTGTGACATCACCTTTTCTATTATACATACAGGATTAATTCTTCTTTCAAGCTGCCAAACCATGCTGCGAAGACCTGATTTTTACATTAATTTTAAAACAGACTGTATAGGGTTTTAAAAAGAAAAAAAATCCCACAAGCTTCAACTGCAAAATATAATTATTTCTTACTCCAGCAAAGCATGCATGCTTGCTACAGCATGTCGCTTAATTTTTATTTATTTATTTATTTTTTTAAACAGGAGAGGTAAACAAATATTTCCATTGCCTCATAAAAGCCATGCGTCTGATGGCAATGGCAAGTTGGTACAGAAACACTTTTCTGACTCGTACTATTAAAAAGTGCTGAATTTCTTAATAAGCTGTACTTAGAAGCCAATTTGCCTTCAGAAATGAGCACTGCTCTATGTCAGGAATGTGTTTGTCCCTACCCTTCTCCTATCAGTAACCTGGAAACTCTTTCCCATAAGAATTCCATCAACCAAGCTTACAGCTTGGGCCTCATTCAAAATTTGATGCATTCATACATATGCTTTTAAATGAGGGCTCGTTTCAAGCATAACTGGAAGCAGATTTTTTGGGAAAGAGAAAGGTAAGGAGAGTTGCCCTTACTTCTTAAGGACTATTTTGTACTGGTAAAGTTAGCAGCACTGATCTTTTGATTAGTTAGGAGTCGGGATGGTAAGGATGACTGAGTTTTAGCAGGGAAGCACGGCAGTGCAATGTTTATTTTTATGCCACGCCAGGCGTAAACGTCTAGTAAATAGGATTACTGAAACAGTGCCTAAGTAATGCTGCAGTTCCATAAACAGAGTGCAATCTGCCTCTGCTGACTTAGAACAGAAGAACACTGTTCTACATCAGTTCTCCCCCATTTTTGAAAGAAATGTTTTACCTTTAAATGGCCTCATACATGGCTCTATCTGTACTTGGCTCCACGCTCAGCTTTCAGACACAGCTGACCACTCTTCTTTGCACTGCTCTCCCAGATCATACAGTCTGCAGTTTGGGTGCCACGAGTTGTACCTACAGTGGGATTCAGCCATCATTAGACATCTCTAAGCTGAAGGCTCTTTCTTGGCCTCTGTCACTACTCAGTGTCTGAGAGAGCTTCCAGCTGGCAGTTTCATATGTGCCCACACAAAGCTTTGAAAATCACTGTGTTTAGCTGAGTGTCTGACTGATGGAATGAGAGAATATTAAAGGCCAGGCAAGCATCAGACCCAAAGCACAAAAAGGCTCTTTCCAAACCAAGGAGCATCTGGAAGTCAAAATAGCTGATCTCTGAGTAGTGCTGTGAACTCTGTGTGCAGCATTTCACAGATAGGACAACAAAATAACAAGACTTGCTACGATTTCTCTTTGTCCTGTACACTTGTCATCTTTGCCTGACTTTGAAAAATTGATGTGGTGAGAGGGATATTATTATTTGAAACTGAAATCAATCAGTGGTTAATAAACTATATATTTTAGACTGTATCCTTTGGATTTTACACACTACGGAAAGAAGAAACAAAACAGTTTCTGTGGGCAAAAGTCCACGCAAGAAGGACTTCTTACCATTCGCTTCAGCTCTTCTGCAGCACGTGGTGATTCTGTCCCTGTAACTGTGAAAAATTTTGTTCCCTGCAACCAAAATAAGAATTCAAAGGTCGCCAGCACCTAACAGAAATTTATTTGTTCTGTGGCACCGATGGATCACAACAAGGACATGCAGTAAGATCCCATGCAGCAATTAAGATGAGCTCTGGGAATGAAGTGTTTGGCAATGCACTTCAGGCTGATTATGAAACTGTAAGTAACAGAACCCAAAACTCCTGAGCAGGGAATTGTACCCTGTTCTCTGCACTACCCCTCCTAGTTTAAATGAGAGCCCTACCAGAAAATTTACTCAAAGCTCTTGCAACAACTAATGACTGCCATACATTCTACCAATTAACGTGGCTTGGCAGTAAATTCATCACAGAGAAATTGTGCTGATGAGGGGCTGTCACCGCAAACTTGCAATTACTAAAATCAATAAAAGATTCCTATCAGAAAGATATTATTAATATTTTATCACTCCACTTTTAAATAACTCATCACTCAAAGTGAATGAACGCTGAGCTGCTACTGAGAAATGACATGCTTTCATATTCTGCATCTCAGTGAAATGTCCTCAGCTTTGATCACGGTTGCTGTTAATCCTGATGTTCAAGACTCTCCTTCGCAAGTCCTGGAAAGCAATTCCTGGAATCATTGCCCCTCAGAGCCAAATGAATAATTCTACTTCTGAATTTTTAAGACATCAACACGGAGCTCATTTTCCTAGACATCTCTTCCAAATTGGTAAAGACAACTTTGCATTCTAAAGGTAACAGAAAATGAAAATAAATCCAGTCAGGACTGTCTGACTTCTATTTAATACCTATGACATCCTCCTGGATTGCCACTCACTTGCCCCTCTCTCACTGTCTTCCTCTCCAACAGCTCTGCAGCCATTTGGAGCATGAAAGAACACGGACTGAGAATGCCTCAGTGATGGTGAGGCAGCAAAACAGGTCACAGGACAGGGCCAGTGAACGGATGAGTGGTGCTGCACCCCAGCCTGCCATCTAATTAGCACTCAGGTAATGAAGGTTTTGGAGCTTTGTCTTCTACCGTTACGATGCTGCTCTCACAGGTAGGAATCCAGAGCAAATAGGAAGGATTAGACAGGGATCATCCTCCCTCTCTCTCAAAGTTCTCCAGAACAGCACGCAGAAAACTGTCCCCATTTCCATCTACAACAAATTCTTTTTACCCTGTTAGGAAGATAGGAGCAAGGGAGAGATGATAACCAGGCACATGCTGCAACTAAAGCTCAGCCTGCCTTTTCATTTCATGCACATTTGATACCAGTTTTTAATCCAGTGACGCAGTTGCAACTATCCAGGCAAAATCATCTCTCTGTCCTTGAGAAGTCCTTTAAACTACAGCTGTACTCCAGAGCCTTCTGCTGCACACAGTTTGCGTGGTATCATGAGTGGCTTCTGCAGTGGTCCAACACCACCAGCACACAACCAACCTGACACTGGTTGAGTAGAGCTTCAGACTATTTCCAAGCCACTCTTCACTTCTGTTTGTACGCTTTCCTAATGCTGTTCCCCTATGTTAATAAATGTCACAATCAGGCTTGCAGTGCCTGAGCCATTGCCCCCAGTAGGAATGTGAAACACAATCAGCTCCACAGAAAGATCCATGCAAGGCTAGAGTATCTGCATACCTGAAAACCTTTTGTTGATGCTCTGCACTGACCTCTGACTGCCTGTAAGACCATGCAGGTGAACTTCCAGCTAAAATGCCAGTCTTAAAAGGAATGACATTTTGGGACCAACAGGAGCAAATGTTGCTGGAGAGGCATGCTGTGACACAGCTGGACGCTGACAAAACCAGCCATGATGAGGAACGGAGGGGATGGCTGAAATACAGCAGGCACACTCACTGTGATGAGAGATGGCCCAGATGAGGCTGGGAGATGGGGGACAGATCACTCAGCGCAGCCTGCTCTGTTGGCTCATCTGGCTCAGCAGGGATGGCCTCCTTTCCCACAGCAGCAGCAGCAGGGGTTTCATCCACCTTGACTTCCCCAGGTGGAGCTTCTTCAGCCTCAGTCTTTTCTTTTACGGATTTCTAAGTAAACAGTGGAAAATTTGTTGAGGAGCACATGATGGTGGGGAAGGAAGAAGGGAATGGGAGCTCTGCCTGGCACTGCAGTGCTGCTTCACTCCTAGCAGACTCAGTGCCAATGGCTTTGCCAGGAAGAGGACAGCCTTACATTACTAATGATCATCTACGGAGCATCTTCATTCTCAGCATCCTGCACAGAAACTGAGTCAGTCCTACATCCCTCCCTTGCCAGGAAAGAGAGTGCTAGCTTCCTGAGCTATTGAAAGCAGCAGCAGAAATGGGGGAGAAGTACTCAGTTTGCTCAGAAATGCTCTAGAAAGTGAGGGCAAAGTGAGGAGTGTCCCAAACTATGATTTCAAACAGCATTTTTGAAATTATCCCCTATCCCCCTAATTCCACCAGCCCTCAGACAATAAGATCCCTTCTCTG